TTCAAAGCCTAACCGTACTTTAAGCTATCATACGTTTTTTTTTTCTTACTACAACATCATTTTTTGTATTTTTTCAGTTGTTTTGCTAGATGCTTTGTATTTTTTTCAGATTATTTGAGTTATATTCAAATTGATGCTAAATGCTCTTCAGCCATTTTCAAACCAAACTATGATAAATGTCGTAAAAATGGCTGTATTTCTATAAATGCTACAGGTAAATAATAATAAAAAACTGTAGACAATAAAAAAATCGGTACCCGAAATCTGTAAAAATCTGGTGTCCGTAGCTCGCACAACCGGCCACTGGATTACCACAAATCGGCCGTTATCATACCTCTGTCTATACCTTTTTTTCTTTTTTCTTTTTTTTATATTCCTTCTATTTCCCCCTTTTTCTCTGCACGTTTCTCTATTCTCCTCTCCCCCTTCTTTTTATATGTTTCTCTTTTCTCATGTCATCTTCTTATTACGTTTTTTACTCCTTTCCTTTTCTCCCTTTCTCTGTTGTTTTTTTATTATTATTTTCTTTTATTTTTATTTTCTACGTATTTTATCCTTTACATCTATATTCATACATATATTTTTTTACGCATTTAATCCCTTTTATAATTTCCTAACTTCAAAATTCCTCCCCAACATCTACAATCAAATACTCTCTTCTCCCCCATAATCTCACCTTCTCTCCTCAACAAGCAAAACAAGCGACCCATACTCTCCCCATCGCCAGACCGCCTCCCCATTTCCTTCTCCCCACAACCTAAAACACCACTTGTCACTCTCCCCACTACATAGGGCTGTTACACCTTTCTTATGTCTCTTCTCCTTCCCCTTCCCCTAGCCTCCTTCCCTTCTTCTTTTCCCTCCCTCAACCTTCTCCCCTTCCCTTCTCCAGCTTTCTTCTCTTCCTCCTTCTTCTTTTCTTCCTCCTTCCCCTTCCCTTCCCTTCCAACTTCATCCCTCTCCTCCTTTCTTCCATCCCCCTTTCCTCCTCACCCTTCTTACCTCCCTTCCCTCCCTCCCCACCCCCCCCCTCCGCGCCCCCACCCCTCACCCTTACCCCCTCCTCCCTTCCTTACCTCCTTCCCCCTCCCCCTTACCCCCTCCTCCCCCCTCACCCTTCACTCCCTCCTCACACCCCTTCCCTCCTCCCCCTCACCCTTCCCCTTCCTCCCCTTCCCTCTCCAACAGCGGGACAAAACTCAGTATAAATCCCATGTACCAGACGGGGCAGGATTAACCGCACCGCCTCAATGATCCACAAATCTTCATAAATCAAGGAGAGAAACGATGAATCCTGAGCGAGAGGGGAGAGAGAGGGGAGAGAGAGGGAGGGCGAGGAAGAAGGTGACACACAGAGAGTGAGAGCGTGAGAGACTGAGAGAAAGAGAGAGGGGGGGGAGAAAGAGGGAAAGAGTATATAAGTGAAAGGGAAGTAGAGAGAGGGGGGTGGAGAGAGACGGAGGAGGAGGGGAGTGAGAGGGAGGGGAGGGAGGGAAGGAAGGAGGGAAGTGAGGCGAAGAGGGAAGTAGGGGGAGGGAAGTGAGGAAAGAGGAAGGGAACGGAAGAAAAGAGGGAGAGTGGAAGGGAGATAGGGAGGGAGGGTGGAGAGTGAAAGAAAGAAAGAGAGGGAGAGAAAACATCTCAAAGCCACTACATAAATATGACCTCAGGTGGGGCGTGCTGTGACTGGAGGGTCAGGGGGGGGGGGTGGAGGGGTAGGGGAAGGGAACAAGGACAGGGTGTGGAGAGAGAGAGAGAGAGAGAAGAGAGAGAGAGAGAGAGAGAGAGAGAGAGAGAGAGAGAGAGAGAGAGAGAGAGAGAGAGAGAGAGAGAGAGAGAGAGAGAGAGAGAGAGAGAGAGAGAGATGAGAGACAGAAGACGAAACAACAAGATTCAAAATACACACAGAATATAACACACACACAGCAAGGACCACGAGAACCAGGAGACGAACCCCAGAGACCCAGAAACCCTCCGAAAAATCCTCCTCCTCCTCCTCCTCCTCCTCCTCCTCTCTCCTCCTCCTCCTCCTCCTCCTCCCCTCCTCCTCCTCCTCCTCCTCCTCCCTCCTCCGTCCCCTTCCCTCCCTCCATCTCCTCCTCCTCCTCCTCCTCACCTCTCACCTCCTCCTCCTCCTCCTCCTCCTCTCCTCCTCCCTCCTCCTCCTCCTCCTCCTCCTCCTCCTCGGCCCTAAAGACAGCAGAAGAGAGCGATGCGCAGCGGCGGCGGACGGAAGCGGCGACGCGTCCCGGCGATATTTGTACAGTCGTTTCCGTAACTTAATTATTCAGATGCGAAACCCAAGACGCGGGGACGAAGGGGCGAGCGCGGGGTGGGGGTGGAAGGGAGGGGAGGGGGGGGGGGGGAGGTGAGGAAGAAGAAGGAGGGAAGGAGGGAAGGAGCGACCACCCCCTCCCCCCCCCGCAACATCTTCAAGACAGTCAACCTCGTTAAGTTAATCCTTCTCTCCGGTGTCCGCGTTTTCCTGGGAGGTCCTAAGTTCGCCATCTTTTTTTTTTTTGGTCCTTCGCTACACCTGCGTGGGCGTGGGCGGGGGCGTGGGCGGGGCGGTGGGCGTCTCTGCTGGGGCTGCATGATACACCTGCATCTCATGAACCTCTCGAAGTACACCTGTATCTCATGAACCTCTCGAACTACACCTGTATCCTGTTAGCCTTATTAGCCTCTGGGACTACACCTGTATCCTATTAGCCTCTGGGACTACACCTGCACCTCGCCAACAACACCCCCGTCTCGACACCTGTCCGCCTCGAAGACTCCTCTGTCCCTCGAACGAAACACGAAAATAACAAGAAACACAGATTACTCGCGTTTCCCCCTATTATTTTTTTTTTTTTAATCTTAATTCCGACTAACGTACATTTAAACACGAAACAGATTACTCGCGTTTCCCCCTATTTTTTTTTTCTAAATCTTAATTCCGCCGGTGTAACGTTTCATTCCCAATACAGATATTTCCTCCCGGGGTCTGTATTGCGTCTGTTGAAACCTGCAACATCTCAACAGCCGGACGCTTCGTGATGCTCGACGCCATCACAGTTATCGGAGGAGACATGTCCATAAGTCACAAGGAGCCATAGACACCGGGTGAATGTTTCGACCTTACGTCACCGCTACACTCCGTAAATCAGCTGATATGAAGGCCATGGAAGAGCGTTAATGGCGGACGCTCGCTGAGATAGGAACGAATGGGAGGAAGTATAAGGGAAATAAATAGATGGGTTAAATGAAAGGGGAATATAACATTCGTCACGAGATGGAAATGAATACACGAAAGTGGAAAAAAATAGAAATAAAACAGAAAAAAATGAAACGAGAAAAAATACGATATTCGCCCGATAGAAATGAATAAAAAGAAGGAATAAAAATCTAACCAAATGAACCAGTTTGAAATAATGAATGTTTTCGAACCGTTAACGAATACATACAAGCCATCAGACGCTAACCAACAGCGCCATCAACATGGAGGAAAACCTAAACTTTTTGAAAGAAATAAGAAAGTAAATACGAGAAAAAAATAAACATTCCTTACCACCATGACCCTACCTCCCCCCCCCCTACCCCTTCCCCTCCCCCTAATCGAGCCCCCCCCCCTCCCCCCCTTCAGCTGCCCACCCAGAACCCACTCCAGCCCACCGGACCTCGCCCCCACCCCCCTGGTTGACAAACACGGTGTCACAACCACCCACAGGAGGGGAGGCAAGGGGAAATTCTGACCCTTCCTCTCTCCCCTCGCCTCCTCCTCCTCCTCCTTCCTCCTTCTCCTTGTTTGTTTCCTTCTCCTCCTCCTCCTCTTCTTCCTCCTTCCTCTTTCTCCTCTTCTCTCTGCTCGTTTCCTTCTCCTCTTCCTCCTCTTTCTCTTCTCCCCTTTCTCCTCCTTCTCCTCTTCCTACTCGCCTCCTCTTCTTTCTCCTCCTCCTCCTCCTCCTCTTCTCGCTCCTTTTCATATTTCTCTTCGTCTTTCCTTTCCTCTCTTCTTGCTCCTTCTCCTCTTCCTTTTTCTTTTTATCTCTTCCTTCTCCACCTCCTATTCCTCTTTTTATTCTTTTTTTCTTCTCCTCCCTTACTCCCTTATTCTCCCCAACCACTTTATGTCGTAAAGTAACCCAAACATCCTTCCAGTGGCCATACAAAGGAGAGAGAGAGAGAGAGAGAGAGAGAGAGAGAGAGAGAGAGAGAGAGAGAGAGAGAGAGAGAGAGAGAGAGAGAGAGAGAGAGAGAGAGAGAGAGAGAGAGAGAGAGAGAAGATAGATAAAAAGTGAGAAAGAGAATTTTGGATTAAGAGATGAAGAGAGGGAAGAAAAAAAGAAAGGAGAGAAGTAAAGAGGAAGAGAAGGAGTATAAAAAAAAAGATAGATAAATGAGAAAGAGAGAGGGAGAGGAAACTATAACAATACCCATACTTATAACACACCTGATTACACAACAAAATCACATCGATGATAAGAATAACACCAATGATTATAATACTTAAAAGATACACAATGATGTAACAAAATAGCATTATCTACAACAATAATTATGATAAGAAGAAAATGAGAAGAAACAGCATCAATCATACACTAATAATACCAAAAATTCTACACAAAGGAAAGGGGAAAGACACATCAACTTAACTATCAACAGAGGCTTATGTTTCGCTGTTGGTAACTAGGGGGGGGAGGTGGTGGTGAGGGGGAGTTGGAGGGGGGGAGGGGAGGTGGGGAGAGGTGCTGGTGAGGGTGAGGGTGGGGTGTGAGGTGCTGTGAGGGTGAGAGGATGAGGGAGGAGGGGAAGGGTGTGGTGTGGTGAGGGTGGTGTGTGTGAGGTGCTGGTGGGAGGTGGAGGTGGGGGGAAAGGGGAAGGGGAGAGGAGGTGCAGGTGCGAGGGTGGGGGGGGGAAGGTTGGGGACACGGGGAGCGAAACATCCCCCTTCTAACTACTAAACTATTCAAAGAAAATCAAACTTTACCAAAAAAAGTTTACTGAAAAATACTCACATGAACTTGAAGCTTTTACTGTAAAGAAAAAAAGAATTGCGGTCAGAAAAAAAATAAACGGAAAAAACAAAGAAAAAAACATCATTTCTGTTTTCATAATGCACGGAATGAACTTGCCAATTGTGCAAAGGATGAACTTAAGAGTGCTTGGCTGTGTCTGTCTGTCTCTGTGTGTGTGTGTGTGTGTGTGTGTGTGTGTGTGTGTGTGTGTGTGTGTGTGTGTGTGTGTGTGTGTGTGTGTGTGTGTGTGTGTGTGTGTGTGTGTGTGTGTGTGTGTGTGTTGTGTGTGTGTGTGTGTGTATGTGTATGTGTATGTGTGTATGTGTATGTGTATGTGTATGTGTATGTGTATGTGTATGTGTATGTGTATGTGTATGTGTATGTATGTATGTGTATGTGTATGTGTATGTGTATGTGTATGTGTATGTATGTGTATGCGTATGCGTATACATATAATATATATAATATATATATATATATATATATATATATATATATATATATATATATATATATAATATATATACATGTATACATAAATGTCTTTCTGTTTGTCTGTCAGTCTGATCTGTATATATGAAAGTAAATGTGTATATATGTATGTAAATATGGATATAAGAATGTGCAAATGTGTACAAGCCACAAGCATGTGGGTGCTATCATAACTCACAATGGTTCAACATGCAGCACCAGCTAGCAACAACAAAGTGCAAGAACATACACACGGGGGATAATTGGTAAAACGACTAAGACACATGAATAATAATAATAATAATAATAATAAAAGAGACACATAATTAATTAAACACAATGATACAAGACTATGACCAGAAAAAAAGGAGAATTTACACCAGGACACAAAATGGACACCGATATTAGCTAGAACACTTAGCATAAGAAGCACAAGAGCGAGAAAAAAATGTTTACAAAACTCCGATCAACCCAGAGGGAGGTGTTGGAGGAGGAGGAGGAGAGGAGGAGGGAGGAGGAGGAGGAGGAGGAGGAGGAGGAGGAGGAAGGAGAGAGAGAGGAGGTAGAGTGGAGGAGGAGAGGAGAGGAAGGAGAGGAAGGAGAGAGGAAGAGAGAGGAGGAAAAGGAGGTGGTCGAAGATGAAGAAAAGGGAAAAAGAGGGGAAGAGAAGGAAAGAGAGGAACCAGGAGGAAGGAGGAGATGGAACTGGGACACGTAACACATTATTAAAAAAAAATGGAAGACCGTAGAAAAGGGACAATAACATGACGAATAAGCACGGTAAGGCAAGCCAGCACATTAGCAGAGCGGCACCGCGAGAGCCACGAACCCAGCAGTGCCACGGACAGGGACTAAGCCTAAGACCCTAGCCCGTGTGTGTGTGAACGAGGCGGTGGCACCTTCCCTCATTACACTCTGATGGACATCGCCGAGCCTCACCTGGGAACCTACCCCCCCTCCCCCCCTCCCCCCATCACCTCCTCATTCTCCGCCCCCCCCTCCCCCCTCCCCCATCACCTCCTCCTCCTCCCCCCCCCCCCCTCACCACACCCCTTAACTACCTGTCTTTCCCTTTTGCTTTCTTTGTGCTTCTCTCCTTCCTCTGTTCTTTCATTATCACAGGGGAAAATCGATGTCTTTTTTCGGTGTTGCTTTTTCCTAATTTTCTTTTTCTTTTCTTTTTTTTATTTCTTAAAAAAAGTATATTAAGGGAACTCTTAATGATAGTATATTAAATTTCGGAGTAATTCTTCTTCCACCAACGCAGTTCTTTTAACAAATGCATTTTTCTTTTTTAGATTTATTCATGTCGAGACTCGGAGATAACAAGACACCCACCCACATAACGCTCCGCACACACAGACGCAGACATGGACACACACACATACACAGAAGCAGACGCAGACATGGACACAGATACAGACATGGACACACAGACACAGACGCATACACAGACACAGACATGGACACACACACAGACACAGACAGCCCCACACACACAGACACACACACAGACGCATACACAGGACACAGACACCCATACACGCCCTACAACGCTCGAATACTTTACATCTCCTTCTGCGGGCCCGGCTATCAGCCATAATTGCAGCTTCTCAACTTCTGACAAGTTTTTAATCAAATTTCTGCCGGGTTAGAGTAGTTGTTCGGCTCAAACCCCGCCGCCCTCAGACCGCCCGCGTCTGCCTCGCCGCCCGCACGCCCGTCTCGCGCCTTCTTGGGGGGGGGGGGTGTAAGGAGGGAGGGGGAGGGGTGACTGTTTGTTTGTTTGTGGATGTGTGTGTGGGTGGAGGTGTGTGTGTGGAGGGGGGGTGTGGGGTTGAGTGTGGGTGTGTGTGTGTGTGTGTGTGTGTGTGTGTGTGTGTGTGTGTGTGTGTGTGTGTGTGTGTGTGTGTGTGTGTGTGTATGAGGCCAATTTGCGTCGAGACGTGCTTAAGTATGTGAATATGTGTATGTGTCTAAGTATATGTGCATGCGAGTCTTCCGGAATGTGTGCGCGGGTGTATGGACGTGCATGTCTGTATACTACCGACGAATATACATACATACACACATCTGCATGTCCGTATGTACACGTATGCCAGCGAATGAGCCCATCCACGCACACGGCACCGAAAGAGGCCGCGCCAGTGGGATATGCGAACCAGATCTTTTTGTTTATGCCCGACAATATGCCCGACCAATTAACGTTTCCATTCCTTCCATAGAGTCCATAAAAACGGCGGTTCTGCCCTGCATGACACTCAAAATGAATGACGGCTGCTTCTCGCCCGGGGAAAAAAACGTAAAAAAAAACAAAAACAAAAGAACAGCGGGATAAACCAGGCTAAAAACCCGGCCAGATGAAAGCCTTCAATCTCTGCGATCTCCCGCACCGGCACCGAAAAAAAAAAAAAAAAAAATGGTCGAGAGAGAGAAAAAAAATAATTTGGACCAGAACGTAAGCATTAATCTGAGAGTGCATGGCGCGGGAACACAAATTGTCAAGATCAATATAACACAGTTTCCGCAACGACTTCGTTAATAACTCCCATAGCCCGATGACTCCGGCCGACGCGCCATAACAATAACAGCAATCCCCTTTTGAAAGCGTTCAGATAAAGAGAAAGCAATTCACTATTTTACTTTGTTTAAAAACGCAATACCGGCCGCGGCAGATAGTCCCTCGCCGTTCCCCGTAATGGTTAACAGAGAAAATGCTATAGTTTGACATTGTATTGGGGCGGGAAACGGCACCTCATCCGGGACTCCATATTCGGCGCCGTTACGACCGTACGATTCGTTAATGACTAGTTTCCGGCAGTACTCTCCGCTGCCGGGCGTAGGACGAGCAGCTCGGGAAAGGAGGAGGGAGGAAGGATGGGGGGGGGGGAGGGGAAGGAGGAGGGAGGAAAGACGAGGTCGAAGGGACTTGGGAAGGGGGGGGAGGGGGAGGGGCGGGGTTGAGGTGAGGGGAGAGGGAGGGAAAGTCGGGGAAAGGGAAGTCGGAAATCACCAGCAAATGAGGACGGTGGATTCAAAGCGAATTTTTATTAATCTTCTCTTCCCGTTCATTGCATGTTCGATTTATCGGATGACAAGAGCATATATTACCGCGGAGGACGGAAAAACGGCCGCAGACTCGGGGCCTCATCTCCATATCGCCTGATTTACATCCTCAATTTGGAGCCCGCCGAGGAAATAAACTTTGTAAAGGTTAACCCGCTCCCTTGATCACCCCGACCCGCGTCCGGAGTCAACTTATTACCGGCGCGGAGACTGACGCGGCCTCGTAAAACCGGGTCGTCGCCAAGCCAAGCCAAAAGTCGAGTCCAAGCCAAGCCCCTTCTTCGCGACCTTCCCGGGGGACACTCCGCTACGGGGCGGGGTCGAGGTCGTGGTCGTCGCCGGTGGGGTCGTCGCGCCTAACCCCGAAGTCGGTCCTCGAAGTCGTTTCTCGGAGGATTCGGAGGCAGATGCGGCCGCGCGTCGGAGGAGGAAGGAAGGAAAGCAAGTCAGTCGCGTCAGATGACGATGAAGATGACGATGTTGATGACGACGACGACGACGACGATCGCCTTCGGATACGGCGGCCTTCGATCCGGAGTCGACCGACGCTTCGCAAATCCTTCGTTACGGCACCGGAGTCGCGCGAGGACGAGAAAGGAGCGACGGAGGAGGAGAAGGATTCCGAGAGTCGCGCGACGGAGGAGAGGATTCCGAGAGTTCCGAGAGTCGCGCGAGGACGAGAAAGGAGCGAGGGAGGAGGAGAAGGATTCCGAGAGTCGCGCGAGGATGAGAAAGGAGGAGGAGAAGGATTCCGAGAGTCGCGCGAGGATGAGAAAGGAGGAGGAGAAGGATTCCGAGGCGGTTGAACGCGCTGGGTCACACTCGCGCCGATTTATGCCTTATGAATATACACAGCGCCAATAACTTCATTAACGCAAGCCCGAACGGGATAATATTGATACTTCGATCATCAGGATCTTTATGAAGTTAGATCGTCAATTATGAAATTATGTCAGATATAGAAGACAAAAAACACACACATACACACATATATAGACTCATTTTTGTTTTTGTTTTTCTTTTTTTCTTTTTGAAAAGTGACATTTCAACGGCATAAATCTACGGTGATCTTAAACCAGGTTTAACTATAAAACCCTGTCCCAATCTCACGTGACGGAAAGATAAAAAAAAAAAAAAAAAAAAAACACGTAATGCTGATGAATCTGAATATCTAAAACAACGTATGTTACTTTTTTTCCTTTTTTTTTTTTCTTTTCTTTTTAAACGGCAATAATATCCTGCACCCTCGACCCTCCCAACGGCTCTCCGATAAGCCCGACGCCCTCTCCCCATCATCTCCCTTTCTCCTTTCTCCCTTCGTCATCCCACCCTCCTACCTCGTCCTTTACCCCCCCCTCCCCTCCCCCCACGCCACCTCTCCATCACCTACATCTTCTTTGCCACAATCTTACTATCATTTCTTCTCCCTCTCTGTGGCGAAGAAGAAGAGAAGGAGGGGGGGGAGGGGAGGGGGAGATAGG